TCTAACCCTAACCCTGAGTTAACTCTAACCCTAACCCTGAGTTAATTCTAACCCTAACCCTAGCAGTCTTATTGAGATATAATTCACATACCATACAGTTTGCTCTTTTGAAGTATACAGTTGAGTGGTTTGGAGTATATTCAAAATTTTAACCCCCACCACTGCTCTAAATGCAGACTTCCTCAGGCCATGTGCATTAGCACTCATTTTATAGTTTTGATCAAATTTTGTTATTGTTTTATTTTGTTTATTTTTTTGAGACAGGTTCTCTACATAACTGTGGCTGTCCTGGAACTCACTATGTAGCCCAGGCTGCCCTCTAATTCACAGAGATCCACCTGCCTCTGCCTCCTGAATGCTGGGGTTAAAGGCATGTGCCACCATGCCCAGCTTATAATCAAACTTGTGTTAAAATTTATATTGTTGTACCCAGAGTCCCCAAAGACCACCAAGAGACCAAATCCAATGTAAAATCAAAGAGTCTTTGTATTGTTGCAAGTTAACCCGGGCCTCTCCATCCATCTGACGCGGCAGCAGAGCAGGAGAGACCCTGGGTAGCAATGGGGCAGGGTTTTTAAAGCAAGGGGGTCTTGGGTCTACAGACTACATAGGAACAGACTCAGGATTGGTTTATGTGAGTGGCAATCATGTTAGTAATTTTTAATTGGCTAGGGTTAGTTGGGGGTTACAGTTATCCATTTTGGGAGGCAGGCCTGGACAAGTCCCAGGCTTTGTCCTTGAGCTGCCATGGAGACTGGCTGGCCTAGCACGTACTGACTGTGGGGGCTGGCTCAGTGGCCCAGGCTCTGTCCTTGACTCATGCACATAACTCTTAAGTTGGTAAGGGGTCCCAGACAGTAAACAACTGGCTGAACCTTGAGCAGTCAGAGTACGTGCAGAAAGGGAGCTACTGCAAGGACTATGTCTTTTGTTCACGGCCCTCCCAGAAACTGCTTGCTCAAGTCTCAGGAAACTGAAATTGAGGCCTGATCTCTGAGAGAAGACTGACAGCCTGTTATAGAATCTGTTTGGTTCTTTCAATATAAGTAATGAAATGCCACTTTCTCTGCAGTAACTACAGAAAGTAATTCTGAGTTAAGGCAAAGGTTTTGGAACTATCACTATAAATATTCTGAGTAAGTTTTGGTTAAAATAGAGGAGGTTATACTCATGACCTCTCTATGGATTCTTTTCTTCATAGGGACAAGATGAAGACTAATAGAACTTTCTAGAAAGCCGAGTGCTGTGGTCGTCTCTGAAGAAAGATTATCTTCTGCAAGTTAACCAGAGACCCTTATTCTACCAACTCTTAACCGTGGCACTATTGTTATCCCTAGTGCTTGAATTTGTTGCTTCCATTGTATTGGCTTAAGTGTTTCCATGGAGTCCTTCCTGTAATCAACTCGTATCTTCCGCTAAAGTTGTAACCTGAGCAATTTTTCATGGTGACTTTCTGTGGCATCATTTACACCCATCACAAAAGAGCACAGAGCCTCCTAGCGCTCTTGTAGCCTAGAATCTGTATCTTGTCATGGAGTTTAGTGTCTGAAGTCTTCCCACGATTATGAGCTCCTTCCTCATTCCAGATACAGCAATCCTACCTGTTACAGTTTATAACCTCCAGCTAGGGCCTGGGGAGTCTGGGAGTGGAAGGCATCAGTGGAGTACATCTTGAAAATTCAGTGCCAGGGTTCTTCCTGTCCTGTATATACATTCCCTCTTCACTCTCTGATTTAGACTTTGCCTACTTCCATCTGACTGTATTCTCAGTGTGAGGTGTGGTACTTTTGTGTTAGAACCTATTCGTCTGTGTTATTTTTACTTTGAAGTTCATTTGCATACTTCTGTTCATTGATTAAAGCCCTCTAAAAGTTGTCTTGGAATTTCTCACTTAACACCTTCATTTAAAAGATTTTAAGTGAAAAACTACCTTCTGGTCAACATCAGACTTTTAAAGAGTGGGAAGTGCAGTTGTGTGTCTCTGTGAAAGCTTCTCTAACCATTACTGTTTGTTTGCCATATGAAATTCCTCTTGTAGTCTTCTTAGGAACTAGAAGTCCTGTGCGATGCCCTTGAATCACTGTAACACAGATTGTCAGAGGCAAACGTTTTAGTTGAGTTTGAAAACTATTAGAGATCTTGATAATTTTCATTGTCATTACTTGTTGCCAGTTTTAGAACTATCCACTCAATCTGATTTTTGTTTTTTGAGACAGTTTCTCTGTGTAACAGCCCTGGCTATCCTGGAACTCACTTGTAGACCAGGCTGACCTCAAACTCACACAGATATGCCTGCCTCTGCCTCCCAAGTGTTGAGATTAAAGGTGTGTGCTACCACTGCCTGGTCATCAATCTGATTTTTATAATCCCCTTCGCTGAAAGTTAGAAGTAGGAATTAGCACAGGACCTGTGGTAAGGAAAGAGAAATGATGTGATATTTATCCTTAATAATAGAGGCTGAGAGTCTGGAGTCAAACCAGTATCTAGCTTATTCAGGTCCCTGGTATGTGTTTCTCTGTTCATTATAATTTTTCATGTGCATGTCAGCTCCTCTTGATTACTGCTTTCATTTACTGTATGTATAAATGTTTCTGTCCAGTTTTTCAGTATGGAATCCAGATTTAGAAGTTTTAGTTGATAACCAGGCATGGTGGTCCACACCTGAAATCTCAGGACTCCAAATGTTTAGGCAGGATGATCATGATCATAGCCTGGGCTATGTAACAAGACTTCCCCTCAAACAAAGTTTTAACTTGTATTGCTACATCGTTATCCACTGCCACCACAGTGAAGGCCTTGGCCTCACAGTTTTGCTCAGACTTAGCTGAAGTTGGCTCAGTTGTAACTTCGTTTTCTCTGTGTCACACAGCATCTGATTTTCTTTCAGTTCCTGGTACTACCTGAGTTCCTGGTAGCTCCTTTTTGTCTTTATAAACACCTCATTACAGAGCTGACATAGTCAAACAAAAGAAATGTTGATAAACTTTTAAGAAACTGGTGAGAGAGTCTCATTGCTCACAGGGCTAAGTCAGTATCTTGATGGGTAAGCTATATGACTATTTTCTTGTAAGGAAAAGCTGTGAGAATGATGGTCCTTTACATTTAAAGACCCTGGCTGCCTTAGAAACGCCAGATAGGATGTCCATATCTTGCTGAGTCTCAGTTCCAGTCCTCCTCCTTTACACTTGCAAGTTTGACTGTAGGAGAAAGGCGGCAACCGAGTCATATTGTGGCATCGATCACCTTGCTCCAGCTCTGTTTCTGGTGTTTGAGGGCTGCCCATTGATTGTCACACTCCCACCACAAAAACCATGTGGGAGTTGGTTATGGCACAGAAAAACCTTGTCATGTTCTTTTAAAGTCTTTCTGAAAAGCTAGTTTTTGTTTAAATGCCTTAAGGATTGAACCCACAGTCCTTCGCTAACTCTTGGGCTTAATTCATGTCCATCTAAGCCCAGTGCATTCCAGCTGTTCCTGCCTTCGTGTCATCAATCATTTAACCTCAGCCCTAAACCAACCCTAAGGAGAGTTTCAGGAACATCCTGCATTCTCCAAGTTGATTCTCCCCTCAACTGGAGCATTGATGGATCCTTTCTGCTGACGGTGCCTGATCCTCTGAGCTTAAGCATGGCTCTCTAGCTCTGTGACCTTCTAGATATATTACAAATTAACATTGACCTGCTTTCAGCAGAATTCTTCCTCATTTCTCTGTAATGCCCTCCAATTTACACTCTTATTTTAAGTATTTGGGAGCCATGTATATTATTTGAAACAGTACCTGGCACACGGTAGGTACTTAATAGGTATTTATTGAGTCAAAGGATGAAAACTGATAGAAATCTGCAGTGGTGGGTGTGGAAACATCTTTCTAAGTTCTTCAGATATCCCTAACTTCAAGTTGGTAGTGGTTCAAGTCAAGAGCTGTGGCAGTATACTGGATTTCTTCTTATAGTACTAAGAGATGGCTTTAAAATGTAGAGAAGTGACCAAATTAGAAATGGATCACAAGAGCCAACTGATTCTTTCTGTCTCTGAATATCTGGTTTTGAATTCATAATCCAAGGGCTTCTTTCTATCTAGTGACATGATTTTATAGCCGCTCTTAGAGATTCCAAAGAACTTAGCATCAGCACCCATGTGATCCTTACAGTGCCAGGAGGCAGACTATGCAAAGTAGCTTTTCTTTTTCATCTGAATTCCAAAGCAGTTAAGTGACTTGCCAAGGAGACGTGGCAAGTGAGTAGCAGAACCAAAAACAGTGCTTGGGGCTTCCTGTTCCTAGGCCAGTGCTCTGAACGATATGTCAAGTGGTTTAGAATGGTCTCTTTAGAGGAATTCTTGGGCATATTAATCCTCGAGGATGATCAGTAAATCAGCAGTTTTCTGTAATGCAAGGCAGTTACACTCAGGACAAGTTTCCTTTGGTGTGTTTCCATTCCGGCACAGTTAGAGGAGACAAGTGGATTCAGCAGCTTTTGCCTTGTAAAGCAGACAACTTCAGACTAGTGTAGGTCATGACTAGAGTTTATATGCGAATGAGATCAGTGCTTGCTGCCAGCCTTTTTGTAAAAGCTTCTACATTTGTGTTTTGGTAGACTCAATTACAGACTCGATTAGATGCTCTTGCACGTTCTTTCTATTGCCGTTACTTACAATAATAGCTCGGCTGCCTATCAGAACCTTGGATCACATTCTTTCCCCTACATTATCCACCCCCACACCCCCTGCCCAGACAGTTTCTCTGTGTAACGGCCCTAACTGTCCTGGAACTCGCTTTGTAGCCCAGGCTGGCCTCCAACTCAGAGAGATCCACCTGCCTCTGCCTCCCGAGCGCTGGGATCAAAGGTGCGCGCCACCACCGCCTGGCTCCCATTGCATTCTTTTTTTTTTTTTTT